ATTTTAAAGCAGGGAAACCAGCAATTCTGGGTCAAATTCTACTATGGAGAAACACCAGACCAGATCCACAATGCTGGTTTCAGTGGGACTACAGTAAGACATGCTATAGGAAGATTATTTTAATTACTGTAATGTCTAAGGGCCACTCTAATAGACTGATTACTAGATGCTGGGCAAATATGGAACAAGGGGGTGGTCACTGCCTGAAGGAGATTATAATGTTAATAATATCCTTTAGGCCACGGTGGTCTAAGCTAGAAGGGAGGATGGAAATGCTTCACATTACTGAGCAGTGACTCTGCAGACTGATGATGGGCAAGGGTCAAACACTCAGTGGCTGCAGGGGATGGCAAGAGGTGTTTAAAGAGTTGGGTTAAAGAGCACAGAGGAGGATCTGTGATGGAAGGACGAGATTCAATTTCAATTAACACCCCCCCCCAAAAAAAAAAGAGAATTAGAGCTTTACAATTAAGATATGAGTTTGAGCTGACTAAAAGGAAATAATTTTGCACTGCTGCCAAGCTGGACATTTCCTAATGCAAAAGGGTATTCTCAAAATTAAAGAAGAACAGAATTCTGGATGACTAGTAAGACTACACTGTATTGACTTTCGTAGAAAGAGCTTTTCTATGAATTTGGAATATTTAAACAAGGTCGAAAATCGAATTATTTTGTTTTGATCGCCTTTCTTTGAACAAAACTTACACCTGCAATTACTTTAATATAGGTATTTACTGTAACCTAGACAGAGGAGGGAACATGGTTTTAAGTAAAAACTGTTTCCTGAATGTTTTCCAGTAAATATCTGGTTTTGATCACAATTTTATCATGGCTTTTCAAAAAGGCAAAAAGCTACTGTTTTAATCCACTATTTTTAACAGTTCTTTCTTTCGCTCTGAATAAGGAAGTTCAATTTGTTCATGCCAACTTCGCTGTTCAGTAACAACATGTTCCCGAAACGTTCACCAAATTACCGTATTGTCACATATGTAAGTAAGCCTTACATTTTTTTCTGTAAAAAGACACAAAAAAGAAAGGCCCTGCAACGCCTGTGACTGTGGACTACACGTATGATGGGTGACAGAGAAGAGAAATAACACCCTGAGCTTCCTCTCCTCTTCCTGCTCCCCTGCCCCGAGATCTTGCCCCCTAACCCTGCCACTGCCACTCCACCCCGGAGAAGGGTAAATGAGACCTCAGGATTATCTCAACATGGGGAATAGGTATTAATACACGGTCTGAGGCGCAGGTTTGCTAAGCTGAATCTGCTCTTACAGGTCCAGTGCAGGTTGCGTTGTACGCGGTGGAGTTTTGCACCAGGCACTCGGGGTGGCAGGGGAGGCACTTGGAGTCCCTTTCAAACTCTCTCGGCTCCCTGGAAAACACCAAAAACAGGAGAAATAATTAAAACCCAGGCTGATTAGCAAGTGATAAATTGTGGTTGTCTCTCCTTTTCTTGACTTTTCCAGTTTAAATAGATTGGGATGATGGTACTGAGACAGGAGGAGGTACAGGGGGACCCTCCTGGTTACACCAGTAGCACTTGCTCAGCACAACCAGGGAGAGGTAAGGGGAATTTGGTTGACAGTGAAACACATGGCACTCCAGATTGCACACTATAAATTAGTTTACTTTGCCTTTTAAGCTAACGACACAGAATATTCACAATGATTTCCAAAGGCTTTTAAATGGTAGTGATGCAAAGAGATCAGCAAAAACAGTTCAAGTGATTCCAAGGCTCCAAATAATAATTAGGAAAGTTAAACAGCAATGCACTGGTAATTAAATTCATGCCCTCCCTACAACACACAATGAATCATTAAAATATGAAAGTTGGTAACAGATGGTTTCAATAGCAATAAAGCTGTTCCACTTCAAGTAATGGTGTTATTAATTAAACTAAATCTACTCATCATTTGACACAAAAAATGCCCAGATCTGCCCTTCAGGTCGTAATAGCTGCTGGAGGGAATTCACTTACAAAAAAGACAGCTGCTGAACTGCAAGTTGCTAGACAAATACAAACATCAGGGGCATCAGCACCCTGTTCAAGTACTTGCTTAACACTCATGATTTTTAAAAGTCAAACTTTGAAAGACTTATTTAAAAATCTGTGTAATTTTTGGTGCTAGCCCTGCCTTTCCCGCCTACATCACCTGTGGAACCGACTGAAAAACCCAGCCGAGCCGCAGCCCTGACACACAGGCAGCGATACATTTTCCTCAGCCTGAGCGAAGCCGAAGCAATAATTTTGCCTGAAATTGCTGCTCCCAGCGCTTTTCGGATGAAAGCTCATTCTCCCTTGACTGCAACTTTGCAAATTGCAAGGGCGAGCTGCTCATTTGAGCAAATGTAAGAGTCCCTTTGCAGCAAGGAAGACTACTGAGCAGTGAAGCCCTGGCTCCAGGGGTGACTGAGCTCCCGGTGACTGCAGCTGGCTCCGGCTCTCGCCCAGTGTGCTTGACACGACAGGCATAGCTTGGATTTTCACGCGGGGCTTTAAGCTCCTTTATTTCTTAGGAGAAGAAAGCATAAGGCTTAGCCTCCTTGGGCCTCCAGATAGTCTCCTCACAGGCTTGAGGGGATGTTTTCATGGCAGTCACCGTGGCAGGAGCAAACTCCTAAGCAATGCTGAACAGGGAAGGAGAGCTACCTCAGCTCCTGGTTTTTCCCTCTTTTTAGGTACTGTGCTCACACAACATCTGTACAAAGCTGGTGAAAACCTTTTTTCCTAGCTACAACATGTTCTAAAACCGAAAACCCCCATATCATCACCAAACCTCAAGCAGTGCCCGGACACCTTACCCTTGCAGGATATTGCACTGTTTCACACACTCCTTCTGGCGATCGAAAAACCTGCAGGAGAAGCAGTGGAAGGGTCCGGGGCCCCAGCAGCCCACGTCTGAGCACAGGGGGTCACAAACATGCCTGGCAGCAGCTGGAAGAGAGAAAAGAAAAAAGGCCATGGATGTCAAGGCAGGAGAGAGGGCCAACACAGCACTGCAGGTGACTCCATCCTGACCAGCCAGTTTCTCCAACCTGTTCCAAACTAGATGTGAATGGTCCTGGCAGTGTGGAAGAGGAATAAGCACACTTCTCTTAATTCTCAAAGCCTGAAATTAAGAGTGACTTCCAACCTTTCAAAATAAAAACAAGCTCCTCTGTGACAGCTTAACAGCTGTGTAATAAAGCCAAACCAAGTACCAGGCTGAGAGAGTTGGGTTTGTTCAGCCTGGAGAAGAGAAGGCACCGGGGAGACCTTTTTGCAGCCTTTTAATACTTAAAGGGGGCTTACAACAACTTTTTACCAAGGTCTGTAGTGACGGGACAAGGGGCAATGGTTTTAAACTGAAAGAGAGTAGGTTTAGATTGGACATAAGGAAGAAATTTTTTACGATGAGGGTGGTGAGATACTGGCACAGGTTGCCCAGAGAAGTTGTGGATGACCCATGCCTGGAAGTGTTCAAGGTCAGGTTGGTCGGGGCTTTGAGCAACCTGATCTAGTGAAAGATGTCCCTGCCCAGGGCAGCAGGGTTGGACAGGATGATTTTTGAAGGTCCCTTCCAACCCAAACCATTCTGTGATTCTATGATCAATTTCCAAAATACAACAAATTCATATTCTGCAAAGAGAAATAATTAGATTTTCGCCCAGGACCACTGCAGTCAACAACAGCATGGTTGAACAACAGCTTTGACCTTGTCAAAAAAGTCCGATGTTCAGAGTTAGCTTCTGTGTCCTTCAACCTACGTGGCTTCACTATGCCCATAGTAGTGAAGCAGCTTCTTCCCAACTGCTCGACACCATGAAGTCCACAACCTCAGTGGGAAAAAATCCCACTTTTCCCCCACCACCATTATTAAAGCAGTATCACTGATGAATTTTGCAGCCAGGGGAATAGAGAGAAAAAAGCCTTGCTGAAATAACTCTTGCGTTTTAGCACGAGCTTCCGCAGGGGGCAGGAAGGCAGCATTGACTTACCACACTCATTCTTATTTCTGTTCTGTATAATCTTTGTTTTCTGGCTCTGAGTTGCAAACAGGCTGCGCCAGTCCATGGTGTCAGCGTAGCAGAGGTTTTTATTCTTCATAATGGCAACATCTCCGTCACTTATTTCCTTGAGGGAGCGCAGCCCCAGTGACTGTATTTTCAAGTTAACAACGGCGAGGGAATACTGGCCACTAAAATGGAGATGGACAAAAAGAAAAAAACACAGAAGAAAGAGAATTAGTAAGCAGGATTTAACTCAATACATTTTTCTTTTGGTTTTCAAACACTTGTTGCTGCGAATTCAATTTTGTTCAAGCAAGACATTGCTCAGCCCTCTAAGCTTAACGCCTGGTATATGAAAAACCTATCATAAAACAACTGCAATACTCATATCTAGTTTTGCATGGGAATTTTAAGCTAAAACTGGCAGGACATGCATGCTCTGTCAGGTAAATGATGTGCAACAGTGGTTGTAGGTAAAGCAGCTATTATTTTGCGCTGGGCCACCAAGCCGTCCTTCCTCTCGGGGTAAGCACAGTTCCCAGGTGGGCACTGGATGCACTGACAGTGTCCGCACCACCAGGCAGCCACGGTCTCCATCCCCGACTGCCCCGCTACCTCAAATCCCAAAGTGCTTCTGATCTCATCATATCTTGCCCCGGAAGGCAAAGAGTGCTTTCTGTCCCGCTTGCGCTTCCAGGCTGGTGGAGGAGAGCCTGGTCCTAGAGCAGGCTCAGGACAGCCCTCCACCTGCAGCACAGAACTGAGGGTCTCACCCCTCCAGGGCACGTTATCTACTGCTACAAAGATGGTGCTCGACTCCTGGCAGGCTTTTTCCCATTTTGCATCAGTTTGGGGACACCCGCGTCTCACCGTTTGGGACCTTCATGCGCTCGGACAAACGCAGCTCTAAACACAGTTTCTTTTACAGTCGCTCTGGCACATGATTTACTTACTGTTGCTTGGTTCTGCCTCGTATAATCTCCAGGTTTTCGAAAGCATAGAGATCAGTAGCATTATCGGGCCAGGCCTGAATCAACAAAAATCCTGAAATGAAGAAAAGAAGATTAAAAAATAACAATAATAATAAAACCGCGGTCAGTATTGGCAGCAGCACCGCCTCCTTGAGCTCCTCCTGTGCCGGGAGAAGGCGCCTGTGCTTTCCCTATGCTTATCTGAGAATCTCAAAGTAAAACATGACATTTTAGGAGCAGGGAGATATTTTTAAACCCCGTTTTATAAACAGTTTACTTCTTAGCCCACCGTGAGGGCTTAATAGCACAAGAGCCGAGCGTGTCGGTGACCCGCACATCCTGCCACACCGAGCCGCCACTGACGACGGCTCTTGCCAGCAAATACCCTGGCTGGGAGGCTGCGGGAGAAAGGCATCGCTCCTTCCCATTTGTGAGCTGCCCTCAGGGAACAGAAAAACTGAAAAGAAAGCAGAAATGGAGCAGAACAGAGAGCCGCTCAGAGTGGATTTGCTAAGGCAAGTAGATTTCCCTGCTCAGCCAAGGCACTCGGGAGGAGGGGGAGAATTTGGGAAACTGCAGGCTGCCATGTGAAGCTCTGAGGTTACTCATTGCTACCCTGAAGGGAACCAGACAGGTAAGAGACAGAAAGAAAAGGGGAACTGGACTCACGACTGTGGACCCAGCTCTGATGTTACGCTCATTTTATAATGGGCTGAACAAAATTACTTTTAATTGATACTTGGTGCAAGACTTGGCTCCGCTGGCCACTTTGTGCTCGTGGAGACACATTCACCCCAAGGAAGAGCTCTTCAGGCTTGAGAGGGTGTCTCCGCAAGGATGACGCAAGCCACTGAGCATGCTTCCCTAAGGAGCTGCTGAAAGGTTTTCCACAAATAGAAACACACTTGGCTTTTTTCAGCCACAGTGGCACGCCTCTGCATCACCACATACTTCTTGGGTGGCCGAGGATCTCCTTTGCTTTTACTCTTCGCTAGGGCTGACAGTTCAGCAGAAGGGATGGTCTGGCCAAACGACACACCTTGGGTGGGAGGCCAGTATGGGTTACGTGGGTGTAATGCTGGCGAGGCGCTGCTGACCACCTTTGTGAAGAGTGACCCTTGGTAGCTCAGAGACAGAAACCGTTTGCTTGCACTTCTTTTCATGTGCTCAAAAAATTTCCCTCCTCTCCCTTTGTGTTTTTGGCAGTACCGATCAGAGACCATCTCAGCTTAAAACCCATTGCTGACCTGATATTTCTTTGACTGTTTTGAAGACATCCAACTTCTTGGGGTCCAAGGGTAGAGTCTTTGTGAACGCATCGCTGAAAAACACAGAATGAGGAATTGGGAAAAGAATGGCTCAGCCTGAATTTCTCCTTAGCCCTTCTCCTCCAGCGCTAAACCACCAGCGGGCAACTCACCCTAGAAATGCAACTGGGAGAATGCTGACATCCCCGTTGATCTTCGTACAGTTTTTGAAGGAGTCGATGTTTGTGGCGTTTATGGAGAGGATCCCTTTAAGTTCACCTATTCCAATGCCGTTGCACACTGTTAAAAGTCAGGGAGAAGAGTGAAGCCCAATCACATGGAAGGGAATAAACATGAAGATGCCATTAGTCCACAAAGCACTCCCATATGGTCAAATGTATCACTGTAAAATGAGTTTCATAGATCTTTTGCCCACTTTTCAGAAAGCACCACAGGACAAACATTTCCTGCTTACAAAGCACTCCCATATGGTCAAATGTATCACTGTAAAATGAGTTTCATAGATCTTTTGCCCACTTTTGCTTTTCAGAAAGCACCACAGGACAAACACTTCCTGCTTGCTCAGCTGTGCAGCCCTGGTCCGAGCATCTCTGCACACAGGCTCTGGCAGATGCCCTTGTCTCTCTTTGTCCCATTTTCATTTTATTCCCCTTGATGAGATATTGGGAAGGACAAACAAAGGTGAAGGCTGATGTGCAAGATAGATACACACGCACACGACACACAGTTTATCATCTACTGTACTTGTGGTGTATCCCAGTTGGAGAGCGTGCTCCACAGCCATGTTTCCTGATCAAACCACTTGTCAGTTCTCCAGACTATCACTAGATATTTATCATTGAATTTGCACTTAATTAAGGTCAGAATTCCATGTACTTTTTCTAACAAGTTACCTATCATCTCAAAGCCTTACTCGTTTATTCCATGCTTTCTATACCTTTGCTGCATAGCCCATCACACTTTTTACACTTCCGAACACCGTTTTCTTCCACTTCATAAGTATCAGTATTGCACGAGCGAACGCAGGAGCCGTGGTCTGTCACCACATAGTTGTCTGGAAAAACAAGGATACAAAGGTCATTGAAACACGAGAGGGATGCGTTGGGGGCTGCACAGGCACTTCAATAATAGGAAGAAAAAGGGGTTTTGAACTTCTGGCATACTTAGCGAAGTACAGGCATTAATTATTAATTCTCACAAACATCCTTTGAAGGTTGACAGACATACAACGCTATCACCATTGTATAGAGAGGGGAATGGCCACAGAAGGATAAAACAACATTGCCAAGGTCAGGCTGTGCAGCAGTGCCGTAATCGGGATCAATACACGGCACCTCTGATCCCTCACCTTCACTTACTCTTCCAGGCTAGAGGCCAGGCAGGGCAATGGTCAACCTCAGAAAGGGATATCAGTTCTGCAAGCTAAACCCTCTGTTACATATAAGTCTCGATAGGTTAAAAAAACATGGACATGGAATAGCATGAAAGAAAAAGCAAGCATCTGTAGAGGAAGCAATGATCACAGGCCTTGAGAGGGAGTGTTTGAACCAATTACTTTCTATCAGTCCTAATTAAGAACCTAGTTAAGAGTTGATAATGATTTGGTAATCCACAGGATTGATCCCATATGACTTGTTTGGCCGTTGTTTTAATGATTCTCGTAAGATGCTTTTTTTTCCCACCAAGAGAAAAATCTTCAGAAGTCAAAATATAATGGTTAAAAATCAGGGAAGGTGATGGATGCAGCCAGTTTGAAGTGGCTGTCTTCTTTACCAGCTATTCTCTCATTTTTGTCACCTGTTTCTGGTTCCCACAGAAGCCGAGGAGAGGAAGGAGGTGCTCTTGCACTTGGCCATAATGCAGAGGGATGACATAGGTCCCTTCCCACCTCCCTCCAACCCCCCAAATCCTCTGTGGCTGCGACCTGAAATGAACTTACGTGGACATTCCCTCACACAAGTGGCTCCGAAGCTGTATTTTCCATCGGGGTTGACATCCATCTGATAGGTGGTGGGGTTATACAGGACCAATGGCGGACACGTATCCTTGCACGTAGCATCATCCCGAAACTTGCGGCATGCCTGTCATTGAACAACAGCACCCATTAAACTACCTTCTCCTTAAAAAGCGACAATAGTTTTACATTAGCTCTTTAATAACACTCTGATGGGCTCATCTGTTCCCTCCTTAGCTCTAATGGAAACCCCAAGCACCTACAGGGATGGTCCCTTGTGCTTTTAAGGTGAAAGGTTGCTTCAGGTTGGGCAATCGAGTTTAATATTTGGAAAAAAAGAGAGAACATGAGGTTTTCTTGTTCTGAACGAGAAACCTTGGCACTCTGGTGAAGAGCTGCTGGGATTCACGTGGGAACAGGAGCAAAT